CGCGTTTCGCAAGTACACGGGACCTCGGATCGTCGATGGCGTCGATAGTCACTGCAGAACACAGCTGCGAGTGGCGGAAACGTTTCATTATTCGCGGCGAGGGGTGTTATTATTAATAATTTTCTTAATCTACCGCTGCTGGGGTCATCGCTCGAACCCTTTATACAACATTTGCAACATGTGCTGTTAAATTACTCCGATAACTAGCCATTCGTAACACTTCGTTGCGTTTTTACCATTCCAACAGTAAAATCTTCGATTTAACCCCTTCGGGCTGCGTTTAAATTTCAACTTCGAACGAGGAAGAATCTCAAGACTTTCTACGTCGGTTGGTAGTAGAATTTAAGTGGAATGTGACGTTAGGCTTGCGATGAAGATTGGATTTAACACTAGAACTACCGTACCAGTCAAAATGACTCATTTCAGTTTTTCTGTTTCACAATTATTGATATCTTCGAAGCTTTGAATATTCGAAATGATTTTGAAAAGAAATAGTTTCACTAGAGTACTATAATGAATGTCTGAAGAAACTGAAAATAATCTATTGTTACAATTTTTATAGGAATTGCATATAAACTTATATAAAACTGTATGAAACCATATAAAACTATACAAAACGATATAAAACCGTGTAGAACTGATAGAAATCGAAAATGATCTATTACCACAATATTCATAGCAATTAGATTTCAATGGTACCAAATGCTCGGTAGTTCTAGTGTTAAGTATGAACATTATTCCTTGTTTTAACCCTTTCCACTTCAAAAATTTGTTACTAGAAATATTCAATTTATTTTTATGAGATATAAATGACATTTTTTCAACTAACTTAACGAGGAATCTATTCACAGAATAAGGGGAACAATGGTATTCGATTTCCACATTTCACGTATCGACAGATTACTCGAGACTTAATGTTAAATACGGAATTTTACAATTTGGATGCACCAATCGAGTGGTGACTGAGAGGCACCTTTGGAGTGCAAATCTCATCCATCTTTCAAAGGGTTAATGGAATCAGGAATCTTTTGTTTGGCGCCGGTAGGACTCGTTCGGATCGTTTTTCGGGTTTTTCTCGAGGTTTTCGGGAGTTCTACTAATCTCAACAGTTCTAAATCCTGTCCCTCCACTTTCACAAAATTTCGAGGATGTACGTAAATGAATGTAAGATTTTGTTTGCATTCGTTCGATAGCTTCGCACACGACACCAATGCGACACCGGACGGCACAGTGTTAAGTTTAAACTGTGCTGTCCTTCTGTCATAGATACTTGTATGCGAAGATCGCGTCTAGATTTGTAACGAGTGTTTTCTTTCTCCTAGTTACCCAGCCATAAAACACGCCGACGCTCAACAGAACAAGACAAATTAAACGTTAGCCGTAAAGCATTCCACGCGTAAACCAGAAGCCTCTCAACATCTTGTCGGCTCTTCCATAAAACAATCTACTCCCGTGTAACCTGGTCTTCCCAGCGAATCGTAAACTCCCACCGTAACTGAATGGCCAGTAATATCCAAGAATCACGCGTGAATACGAAAAATCCTTACGATCGTTCGTCAACGAAGCATTTAGCGGAATATCGAAACTAAGTCAGATTTATTAACGTGCAATTTCACTGTCCTATCACTGCGATATCTCGCGTGATTCGCAAAAAGCGGTCATTTCGAGACGAATTGACTCGTCGCCGGTGTTAACATATGGCTAATTTTCAGAAAACTGAATTGTGATGGCAATTTTCACTGAGGTCAACTTGTATCGCTATACATAGAAAAACTCAGATGTATTGTGATGTAATATATTTTAAATAGATAATCAATTCGAATTAACCCTTTCAACTCGAGAGGTGACTTGATTTCATGTAGTAAAACTATGAAATTTGATATTCAATATTCAACTGTATATAATGCATCTTTAATGCATATTGCAATTTTTCTTTGAGTTAATTTAAACAAATTTCGTCTAGAAAATGTTAAATATTTCTAATATTAGAAATAGTAGTTAGAAAATGTTAAATATTTCTAATATTAGAAATAGTAGTTAGAAAATGTTAAATATTTCTAATATTAGAAATAGTAGTTAGAAAATCTTAAATATTTCTAATATCAGAAATAGTAGTTAGAAAATCTTAAATATTTCTAACGAAATACTTCCGAGTGCAAAGGGTTAAATTTTATATTTTCTTCAATGATAATTATCAAAGTCGCATAGCTAAGTGTCTTTATATAAAAACGAGATTCCTCGTTATCGGTGCGCAATGCGTCAAGTTTCAAGCAAAAATATTTTGGATCAGTTAGAATCGCTTATCATCATCGCGAGGAGTGTACGATGGTTCGTTGAGGATGATAATCGCCAAAGATGGCTCCTTTCTTGCCAAACATCCACTAGTCACAGTCTACTTGGCTAAGAGATAATCTTCCACAGCCTCTTTGTCGTTCGCCATCGTAATGATATTCCACTTTGTTAACGACGGGCACAAACTCGGTAGCCATGATCCGTTTCCACGCACCGGTGCGCTCGAGACCGTCATCGTCACGCTGGAAATCCAAGAACACGACCGACGCGAGGATGATGATCCCCCGACACTCTCGAAGCTCGCGCCGATACTTCGTCTTTTTTCCTTCGCCTTTTCTTCGAACGATTATGGTTGCGACACGCGACTGGCTACGCTTGATGGATCATCTAGGATTTCGGATTTAATTGTTCCTCTTAATCGTCGCTAACGATGGCCACTGGAGGACATCCGATAAAGGCTGAGATTGGAAGGTTACTGACACTTCGTGGACCTTTAGTGCTGGCAACTCTGTAGTAGATGTTTCTTCGTATTCAACGTTTCTAATTTTCTTCTGATTTATTGATAATTAGGATACGATACGAATGATGTTAAGGTAAATGAGAATCGATTCATTCAAATGAGAATTCTATTCCCACAGCACGATTTCCTTATGCGCGCAATGACGCAAGTGCACCACCCTCTTGCATCTTCGATCTCATCCATCTTTCAAAGGTTAATCATTCAGTTCATGACACGATATGTAGAAAAGAATGCCATCGATAGTCTTGTAATGTCCTGCTCTAGCTTCAATTTGCTATTCAAATTTCATTCATAGCTACTTCCTTTCGTAACGATATTTTTTCCAGCGTTTATCATGAATATTTAGCTACACTCTATATGGTATCGTGCTCTCAAGACTGATCCCCGTTAGTCAGTACTTTCTATCAACTCGGAATAGTCCTTGAAGGTTCCATGCGAATGCTTTAGATAAAATAATTAATCTTAGATACGTTAAGCTCAAAAATCACTGATACCAATCTTGAAGAGGATTCATCGGTTCTCTATTCCGATCGACGTTCAGCGTCTTAAAAGACGAGCTCCGCAACGCAAACAATTGGCCATTATTCGATCCTCGCTCCCATAAAATCGGCTCACGGTGATCATCATCAAGAGAGCTAAATTCGATCCGGGTCTCGCAACGGGGATTAATGAAAAATTAGGTTCTCGTTGCGAAACGGTTTCTGTTGATCTAAGCTACTCCTACAATCATAGCTCCCAATCCTTTCGCTTCTCACGCAATGCACGCGAAACGTTTAATAATACCTCCGCGTTTCTAAAACTCACAAAGTTGATTACTCGTTCAAACATCCAATCATTCAACGTTCCCCGTTCGAAACGCAGCTCCGAGGAATCCCGAAATTCCCAGACGAAACGGCTCGAGAGCTTAAGCCTAAAGGTCGCCGCGGCTCGTAAGCATCTTTGCGTTCAGCACTCCACTCCCAAAGCCAATTTACATTCCAAAATTGTCCCAGTTAATGAAGTAACACGACCCTGCTTGCAACTGGATCCTTTCTAGAGTCGGCGATCCATTTAGAAAGGACTCCGAGTCCACTCCTGTTTCGACGTTCACTCGTCGCCGGTCCACTCTTGACCCTGTTGGGGCCGACAGTGACCTAACACGTCGAGATTCATCGATATACCGTGGATCAATTAAAACCGTTCGCGATTGACCAAGGTATTCGAGGAATGCCTGACCTTTCGCCGCGTCGCCGAGTCCCTTCTTTCCACCAAGGAAACCTGAAGACTGCATTCCCCGTTTCTAAATCGACCAAGGCCCATCCCCAAGGCTGCTGGTCCCAGAATCACGAATCGGAATTGGAGCACGATGATCTCGCGATCGTGCAGGCCCGATCGAGCGGAACGGCGATCCGTCGATCCAATAAACGACCGTATTGTTACAGCGTGCCCACGGATTTTTCGACGCAACCCCTGCGACGCTCTTGTGAAACGACGATAAATATATTCGGCTCGATCCTTGAACCTCCTTTATGAAACAGAAATACTCCCCGGCTTCTCCGGCGACGTCCAATCGTAATCCGCGATTAAATCGGTCCCTGTGTTTGACTTAATCTTGAGTCCCATTTAGGTGGAACCAGTCGGCTCCGCTTAATGCCGCGCAGCGAGCGCGGCGAGAACATTTTTTTCACCTGTTAACGACCGTTCGCGCGTTACCGTGCTCCTCGATCGGCTCTCGCTTATTTATTCCAACGACGGGGGAATTCTTTTGTCGAGTACAATCCGAACTGCGTGTAATGATACCGGGTACAAGTTATCGTCGTCGGATAACCCCCGCGTTATTAATCTGCGCCGCTCCCGGCGCGTATTTCAGGCTTGCTCGCCCGTTAATCACCCGCGCGAGCGTGCTTCGCGAAGTTTGTCCGCCATCGTGGTCAGGGTGCACTTCTTTTTTACAGATCACGTCGGCCGGGTGTACTTTATAACTTCCATTCTCCGAAGTTTTGTTCTCCGCGCGCAGCTGTTTCGATTCTCCTTTGAAACGCCTCTTGAAATATCGCGGTGCGATTTAATGCGAACAAGTTTTTCGAACTTATGGACCTGCGAAGTTGGTAAAAGAGTTTCTATACGTATACGGAAATCTATATTGTGGTTATACAACGAACGTTCTTTTATAGATCACGCAATAATTCGCCGCATTTCTCGGTTGCAGATCAAAATACCGCTGAAAGTGGGGTTCTCGGTGAGGCCGAGGGACGTGACGGTCTCGATCACGAAGAAACACCTGACCTGCGGCGTGAAGGGTCAGCCGGCGATCATCGACGGCGATTTCCCGCACGAAGTCAAAGTCGAGGAGTCCACCTGGGTGATCGAGGACGGGAAAATGCTGCAGCTCAACCTGGAAAAGGTAAGTAACCGGATCATCGGGGCTTCCCGTGGCCTTCCTCTGCAGCGACCTTGCCCGGAAAGTGACTCGAAAGATGCCTATCGACGTTGCACCATAGATCCCAGCCCGAGATATCGTGTATCGTATTATTCGGTGGCCTCGAACGATCGAAACAACGAAGCTCGAAGAGTCTGGGAGCCCAGCCGATTCGTAATCGAGCACCCGTTTAATCGTAATTTAATTGACGCCGCTCGTTTCGCGTTACCGTTGATCCAACGATAATCCGACGGTCTATTTCACGGTCGGAGCGCCGGGATGCTACGCGGTTAATCGATCTTTCCCCCTGCTGTTCGGCGTTACGCGCGTTCGATCGTCGAGCCTTTCACCGATCAGATCCGATCCAGTCGCTTCCTTGGACTCCTGAACTCGACGATGCCGTCCTTTAGCAACCAGGAAGATCCGAAGCGATTTTCTAGCGCCAGATCTCCGTTAAACACCGCCGGTACTTTCATTCCAGGTAAACAAAATGCAATGGTGGGCGCACGTGGTGACCACCGATCCGGAAATCAGCACGAAGAAAGTGAACCCGCAGCCTAGCAAGCTGTCCGATCTCGATGGCGAAACCAGAAGCCTCGTGGAGAAGATGATGTACGATCAGAGACAAAAGCAGCTCGGACTGCCGACCTCCGAGGAGCAAAAGAAGCAGGATGTCATTAAGAAGTATGGGTATACTTAGATCGTAGCGCTTGAATCGCCGGCTCGTGAAAGTCTCTTTAAATGGGGTACAATTCGGCGACCGAATGCGGATGTTCGTTCAAGTGGTTTCGTTCGAGATCAGTGTCTCTTGAGATTCGATTCGCTGTTAATGTTGGGAAGATTAAGAAAGGAATGTATTGAAGTGAATTAATCATTTGTGTTAGAGGGATGAGTGGTTTTCAAAGTAGAGATGAAACGAGTAGTCGCCAGAAAGTAGAAACTCTTGTTTGAATGAATCGATGTAAAGGGTTAATAACCGTTGCGCGAAAGTTCTAATTTTCATAGGAAATCGGAAGAATAACTAGACTGAGGACTTAAGTTTTAACTTCCAACATTCACCTACTAGAAGCTCGTTAATGGGCATTTGAATTCCTGGCGATAATTTAATATTTCTACATAGCAATCGCTGTTTACATAAAAATTCCGTGGCGAATCCTCGGTCGACTTATCGCAATCTCCAGTTCGCAGCCCCTGTTTCGTAGAATCGTTGGATGCGTGACGTTCGAACGTTTTTGCAGGTTCATGGAGCAGCATCCGGAGATGGACTTCTCGAAGTGCAAATTCAACTATTGAGAGGATTCGGTCGGGGGTTCAGCGGGTCGTTATCAATCGATGGGAAGCGAACGCACCGACACGGCCGTGCCAGTGTCAGCCGGATCCAGTGGAACTCTATCTCGTTAATTATCACCTCGTGACGTCTCGACCTTCTCTGCACTTTCCTTTATTTTTTATACGTTGCGCTCCGCCGCGCCAGCCGCGGCGAGAGATGGCACCACGAACTGAACTCAGATTTCTTTACCGCTCGCTTGCCGATTTGATTCCCTTCGCCCCCATTCCTCCGGCGCTCCCTCAGTTTGCCCCGAGCCGACGGTACCAAGGGACGAGAAGCGGTGTCGAGAGTTGCACAAAATGTATGTCACGGATTTTTCACATTAAGTTTTCGTATAATTGAATAAAGAGTTTAGAGAGAAATTAGTTACGGTAATCGCGCCTTATCGTTAAGGACTCCATTGGTTGCGCCTATACCAATATTGAAAATAAAGTATATCTCTTTTCGTCAGTCTCTTTATCTTACCGAGTCGCATGAAACGCTCGCCGTTCGATCGTATACAAAGTGATGATCACGTGTTCAGAGATAGAGGGTGATAGGCTACGAGAATTTTAACCCTAGAATGACACGTGCACGAACGTTCGTCTACGAGTTCGATGAATATCGATTGGAATATCGTTGATAAATTTAGAAAACATGGAACAGCGTGATATTTTATCAAATATCTATTGAATCATTTTTAATGTCTTGCCGAGAAGCGTTGCAGCACCGTTCTAGGATTAAAGGTCACGACGATCGATTTAATTGCTACAATTAAGTTTCTACAATGAGTTATCACACGATTAATTTACGGTGATCGTTCCTTAAGCAGTTAAGAGTTCGTACGCAGTCTCCGAGTAGCAACACAGGGCACAATCATTAAGCTAAGTTAAGGCACACAAGTGTCCAATACTGTCCGTCGTTTGTTGATTAAAAATAGTCGTTCTCCTTCATCACTCGACTGATCCAGCGAACGTAATTCGACAGTCTCGCGTATATTCCGTATTTCCCGCGTTTCCCGCATCCCTCGCCGAAACTAGTGATGCCGAAAATGGTCCAAGGACGGTCGGGCCTTCTTGGGTCTCGACAGAGGAGCGGCCCACCGCTGTCGCCTGCGCAGGAGTCCATCTTCCCGCGTCGATATCCGGCGCAGAACATGTTGTCGGTGATCCTGTAGTCGACGTAGACGTCTCGACAGGCTTCGGTGGACACTATCGGTATCTAAAACAAACGAAAATCACATTAATCCTTTGTCATCGGAATTCTTCGAAGATAGGATCAGCAAAGACGAGTTAAGATAAGTAAATATTAACACATATTCAGTCAGGATTTTGTCATCTTCCGAAAACTAACATTCAGTATATTTCATTTTCTGCATGGAAATACCTTTATGTCTATATTTAAAATTGAACACTTTATTTCGATTGATTTACTTTTGAAAGACCTAAATAATAAACGTTTATTATTTCTCTGGATATTTGTGAAGATCTCTCGTTTCCGATGATTTTTGCTTGTATTCGAGAAGATACCTGTGCCTGATGAAGAACGTCGGTACCGAAGTCGTCGGTGACTCTCGACTTTCCCCATCCAATGATCGTGCAGAGCTGATTGGCGGGTAGAAGCTGGTTAGGCGCTGGGAGACAGGCGATTCCTCTCGATGGAGACGCGACCAGTGTGACCGGGAGACGCAGCATTGCTATGTCATTGTCCACGGTGTCCGCGTCGTATTCAGGATGCACCGTGACTGAGTCCACCTGAATAGAACAAGGAAAAAATCCATTAGACTCAATAGAACAAACTTCAACGAAGAGATACTTCAATCCGCTCTCTCTCTTTTTGCTGGTTTTAACCTTTTGAACTCTGTAGACTCCAATATTGCACCAGTTATAATATCAAATATTTTAACGAATCGAACTACCCTAAAATTATTAGATTTTCCACAGATCCAAATTTTCTACTGAGAAGGAAGATACAAGATCGAAGGGATGCTACAGTATTTTTCATTTTCACTAGAGATATCATAAAAATTAGTCGCAGTTGCTAAATTACAAAACCATCTGGAGTGCTAAAGGTTAAAACTTCGAGCGTTCAGGTGGAAAGGAACTTCGATCGAAGAGAACTTTTTCTTTCAGTTTGTTCAAGATACCCTCAACTCCAGCTCCGAGCCTTCTTTCACTGTTAAGTCGTGTTCCCCGATGCGAACGTAGAGACGTTTCCTGATGCAGTGCGCAGCAGTCAGCACCCATTTAGGCGAGATCAGAGTGCCTCCGCAAAAGGCCTCCTAAAAGAATATTTTTCTTCTGTTTTATTCGAGGAATTGCAACATTTAAAAGTGATACACCAGCAAGAATTGCAAACGGAAAGTTGCTATTTTATTCTATTCGTTCGGTGTGTTTCGTTCGTTAAGAGACTTACACGAAATCTATTCAATACTGCAACTTGCCAGGGCCAACTTCCGCGAACTGCCGGACGTCCACCGATGATTCTCGTGAAGTAAGAGAGCCGAGAGTTCTTCTGCGTACTCGGCAGGCCGCATTTCCAGGAGTGCGAATTTTTCTCGGGGATGAAGCTGTCGACTGTATTGGGATTTAACTCGAACTCGTCCAATACTATGTCTGTTAATGATCCGAATGATGCGCTTTATGAAATGATTGGGGGCGTGAAGTTCGCTTAATCGCCGATGCCTTACCGTCACTGTCCTCTTCTTGGCTTCCACGGATCTTCCGGTGGATCCATCTTTGGCAGAAGCTACCCTCCACGTAACAGTAGGCGCTTTCTCTTATCACGTCGCGGCCACAAATTCCTGGTTTCTTGCACCACCTTCGATAAAATTAATAATTTTTTAATTGAAATTTTGGAAGTTACTTTAAGCTTATATATTATCCAGTTCGATAACGAAAGCAATTTTGGTAAAGCAATGTTCACACGTTTCAGTATTGTTATTATTAAATGAAAATATATACTTAAGAAACAAGGTGTTTTGATAAGAATTGTATAAGTTCGATATTTTACTTTATGCTTATATATTATCCAGTTAGATAACGAAAGCAATTTTGGTAAAGCAACGTTCACACGTTTCAGTATTATTATTAAATGAAAATATATCCTCAAGAAACAAGGTGTTTTGATGAAAATTGTATAAGTTTGGTAAAGCAACGTTCACACGTTTCAGTATTATTATTAAATGAAAATATATCCTCAAGAAACAAGGTGTTTTGATGAAAATTGTATAAGTTCGATATTTTACCTGTGACGTTGCGTAGTGCACAGCCTCGTACACGGCGACCACTTGCTCCACTTCCCATAATGCCCCACGGACTTATCCTTTACGTCTTTGCCTCTTCTTTCTCCCTGTCTGGGTTCTGCTTCTTTCTTAGGAAGCTAGGATTATTTAAATACATTTTTTAACGTATAGCGACTACTTCTTACATTTAATTATCTTGAGGTTTTAGAATCCAACCTGTACCACGTGAAACTTCTCCTTCCGTCGATGCCCGCGTCTCTGTCGCTGCTTGCATCGCCTCCATCTTGCCTTTCTGTTGTGCTGACAGGTGCGCTCCTCCTTTAAAAAATTAATAGACACTCTTATTACGTCACTTTCCTTAAGAATCCTTAAGAATCTAGTGGAAGACAGTGTCTAAACTAACCCTGTGTATCGTAGTCCCACACTTCTTCTTCACTCGACACCTCCGAACGCGATTCTGCGTGCAATGGCGGTCGCAGACCGACCACTCGCTCCAGTTCGTAAAGTAGAACGATCTCGTGGATTCTGTAATCAATCGTTTCTGTCGTTGATGGGGACCAGTAACTAAATTCAGAAGTATCTCCATTCGAAACGACATTTAAAATGAATTCTTCGTCGTTTGATCGAGACCTTTTCGCGAAGTAACCACAAAAGATTCGAAAAAACAATTTTAGAAAGGACTCACTATTGTTCGCCGACTGTTCCAAGACGTAGTCCTCGTCGGGAACTCGTGCCCAGCTGGACTTATTGTTCCCATCGGTCACGAGCGTCCAGTTTTCGCTCTAAAATTAGCACAAAGCCAGTCGCAATTAATCATTTCCGACACAACAACAGTTTCAGAAACGTGACTCGACGCGCGTGTTTTTCGAAAGCCGAGGCCCGCCGTCTATGGGAATATAAAATTCATCCCGCGCTACGAAAGTATCCGCGACAATGGTTCCCAGGCATAAGACGCCGAGAAACGCACACGAGGAAAAGCAATTCCGTCGCGGAGCGCACGTCCGTCACGTAGGCAGATCGTTGCAAAAACGACCTGAGATTAACAGCTGCGAAGTAATGGACGTTGCGGCTGGATTCCAATTGAACGTATTAAACGGCGATTTTCGTAATTCGCCGCGCGACATTATTAACGTACCGGTTTGATTGACGCGGACCGAGGATCCCGCCAACGCGACCGCGAGAGTGTTTACCTTAAACTTGCGAAAATGTCTTGTGCATATTCAGCTGCATCATCAATCGTAATTTGTACTTCATTCAGGGGATTAGTCTTGTGAAATGAAGTTAAATTGGTTGTACCGATTGTTGCACAGTAAACGATGGAAACTCTAATGCTTTACAATCTTCTGATTGAAGAATCAATGTGTACGCAAAGCATCAAAGTAGTTATACTACTGCCTCAGCATTTCGAATCTTTCGAAGTTTCAAATTCACATTCAAATTTTCTAATTTTCTATCTAATTCTCGCAATCGAATTTTCAAATTCAATATTCCAAATTGAAACGAATCCACCGTATCTAAGTATAGCTACTTGAACCCAAGCACGGTTGAAGATAATTCTCCGCTGCCTCGCCTCTTCCTGCACAAGAAAATTCACTTCCCGAGAAGCGAAGCAACACTTAGTAACCAACCTCTTTAAAGCCCTCTTCCACAAAGCGAAATTTCAAATAGCCGTCATTCCCGCTCGGCCGAGCACACGTGGTCAAAGGGATTGATAAAAAGCCGGCAGGCGTGCCTCGGCAAGAATCCCCATCGAAATGGTAACCGGGTTTCCCGAGCGGGTCGCAAAGAAGTGACTCCCGGCAAAAAAGCAACGGCACAATTACCCGTTCTTAAGCAAAGAGTTAATAGAGCGGCGTTCGCGGCCGGATCGAGTATCGTCCAGCATTCCCCAAGGCTGTAACGCCGAGCACGCGGCACTAAACTCAATTTGCCAGCTCGTAAATGGCATCGCGACGTAACCGCCCGCCGGTGTCGCTAACCGTTCGTTGCACAATGTTGCGAGTGTCCAACGAGAAATCGAAATTCGCGTCTCCAGTGACCCCCTAACATGTCCGCTGCTACTGCCGAAGCATTATCGACGTAAGCATTCAGTGCTCTGTACGCTACGCATCGATATTGTATCATTAACACGTTCAACCCGGGAGTGGTCTACGCAAATACATTTTTCTACGTACTACTTTGCTGCATTTTTACCTTGACAGTATTTTTAAGAAGTCACACAACTACTCAGACTCCGGTGATTGTTACTGACAACGGAAAAGTACTGAAGTAAACAAGCGCCAGATGAATAAACAGCTTATCATTTTGTGTACGCCGAACATAGAGACATCTGGATTATTCCAGAATCTTTAACTAGCCTATTTTCTGCTAGATCAGCAATATAATCATCAATATCCAGGCTCTCAGCGGCAGATATTTAGCCAACGAATGTGTTGGTAACACAGTCGCAGTCGCGAAATCAAAGATCAATGCAGCTCTTTGATCGGTCTCTTTTTCGTCGGTTGCTACTTCGATCTTACAGGAAAGTCGGAGGCGAAGCAGAAAGATCTTCTTTATTCGAGTTGTTCTTTACGGTAACTAGGTTTCGAGATCGATCTAGGGGAGAGACTGGAACAGAGGTCGAAAGTGGAACTGGCACGGATCACACCCTCCTTTGAACGGCCCACGTACCCTTATTATCCTAGACAATGGAGACCCGCGACAGTTACCTCATCGAGGTCGGCCCGCTTGAGAAATCGGAGACCGAACTGGTTGCGATAATGGTGAGCGCTGATGGTCCAGCGGAAACAGAACACTCGATTGTCTTCATCGGACGCGTGGATGGCTGGAAATTATCCGTTCTCGTGTAATATGTCTCAGAGATCGTGTTCCCCTTTCCGATCCTAGTTTCATCTCGAATTTGCATCGGGAACACGCGTAATATTGGGTTCGTCGGATTGTCCTGTTTTTAATGACGTTTAACGATATGTTTTAGCTTATCGAGAGAAGCTTCGGTGATGTGTGCGTCGATCGTTAGCCTAACTGTGTTGGATCGCTTTATACGAGAGAGCAAAGTGTCTCTTTAGTGTACAATTCGTGTTTTACGATGTTAACGGGGCTTTTTCCTGCAGAAGTTTCTATTCCTTTCGCAAGGGGACGCAGTGCTCGAGATAAAAGGCAATAATTCGAAGGAAACTCTAGAAAGGCGTTCTCCGCGAGGGAACTTCGGGCAAAGCGCGATGCGAATCTCCAGGACGATGGATTTTACGGCTATTGCGAGTCGCGTTGAATTCATTTAAACGAGCCACAATAAGTTTGTTGTTCCCCCCGAGTTTATGATCTGGTTAACTCCGGATGGAGAGGAAACACGCGCGGCTCAGATTCACGGCGCCCGAGAGAGTTCAGGGTTAACGATGTTCCCGTATTGCACAATTAATTTCTCCGGCTGGCACTATAAAAAGAAACAGGTTCTCGGTCGATTCTCTTCGTTCGCGCAAGTAGTCCACTCCTCGAACTCCTTCCTCGCTTTAACTCGAGTTCCTCTTTAACCTGGAACACTCGCAAATCTCGCTCTATTGCGCTATTACCAACCCCTTACGTCAGTTTCACGCTCTGCCTCGATAGTCTATAAACAACATCCTCGACGTAATTCTTAAACAATCGAATTTTAACCGTTTGCGGACGGATGTCGGCATTTCGATAAGATGAAACATTCATATTTCGAAGACTAACTCGCGAACAAATGATTTAATCGGACAGCAAGAGATCAGACCGCAGTTTCCTTTTCTTCTATTAATTAAGCAACTGTAATTAAGCTTTATATGTTGAAGGTTTTGCATGTTCCCAAGAATTTTCCCCCGCAAAGGGTTAAAATTTGAAATTCCTCTCCTGTTAACCTTCAACTTTCCACCATCCGGAACTTCAGTATTCCAAATTATCCAGATCGTCGAATATTCTGAGACATTGTCTTCGAACACGGTACTTCATTTTAGCAGAATCGTTCGCCAATTTCTAAACTCAACCTATCTCTCCTATTAACCTTCAACTTTTCACCATCAACTTCAGTATTCCAAATTATTCAGATCGTCGAATATTCTGGGACATTGTCTTCGAACACGGTACTTCATTTTGGCAGAATCGTTCGCCAATTTCTAACCTCAACCTATCTCTCCTATTAACCTTCAACTTTCCACCATCCGGAACTTCAGTATTCCAAATTATCCAGATCGTCGAATATTCTGAGACATTGTCTTCGAACACGGTACTTCTAGTTTGGCAGAATCGTTAGCCGAGGAACATCGGAGTCACGCGCGTGACACTGTCCGTCAGAGGGAAACGAAAGGCGGACAAGGGTTAAGTGGACAGGTATACGTTCACCTTCCCCGTGAGCGCCATTCCCACAATGCATAAAACGGCGTCCCGCGAAACGAATGCCCGGCGCATTCGAGTACAGTTACAAGTACGTAAACCACGGGCGAACGCGCCTAGGCCAACACGACGGCGGATGGAATGTGTCCAGGCAGGGTGCCGTTCAGGGATGCAGCGGCTCGGATGCGAAACGGTATTAAACTCGCATACGTAATGCCAGTGAATCATTTGCCTGCGAGCGTAACCGGAATCTAATTCTCGTGTTAACCTCGGCGAACACCGTCCATCGATCTTTATTAACGATCTTTTTCTGCCTGACTCTTCTATTGAAATCTTTAAGGAGCTTACCGCTCCGTGTTCGTCCTCCGGAATCACTTCCCTTTAAAACGGCACGCGGTTTTTGCCCCGCAAACAAGGAGACGCAAGGCACCGCGGACTTCAGCCTAGTTTGGCGATGTCCACCACGCTGAATACAAATTCCTGTTGTCTTCTACCTGTCCCCGTAGCGAGGACCTTCCCCCTATTTTTCTCTTTGTTGACGTCGGCCGCGCAAGAAGCGACAAATTGTGCGAGGCAGAGCCGTCTTCGACGTTCGGAAGAATTCGCCGACGGAGTATCGTATATTAATTTCCGTGAAAAATGTAATCGACGAGAATTCAATCTATAAACCTTTTCTTCATTTTTCAGTGGATATTTCCAACGTTTTCATTACTAACATTCTTCATTAGGCATTTCGAAAGGAGATTAATTAGAATATAATTTCCTTGCACGACGAGATTGGTGTAATCAAGCTGACGGAAACCTGAACCATCCATGCATCTATAAAGAGATACCCTGAAAGACGATCGATTAGAATCTAATTTCCCAGCATGACTGGACGAAACCTGTACATTGATAACGTAATCATCGGCCGATTATTCCCTGTGCATTGTCAACATCGCCGGTGAAGGTACTTTCCACGACGAGGCTGGTATCGGGGGAAAAAATTCGAGACACGACGTAACACGGTAAAAACGTTCGGCAAAAAGCGACGCCGCGCGGTCGGAGGGATCGCAGGGATTTAACGGTCGTCGTTTCAATCCGAGCTAACAAAGCGGCGCAACAGCGGCATCGGTCAACGACAAGCTTCCCGAAGAAGTAGTCACTTTATAAAGCATCGATCCCGGCGCACTAAAAAGACGTTACGATGAAACCATTTTCGCCGCGACGCGGCCAACAAAGCGGCCACTCAGCGCAAAGAAGACTCGGCAAAAAGGCG